GTAACCCTGAACACACACACTTGACACACACCATTACTTCTCTTCATAGAAATGATGCTTCAGTTGTTATCAGGCACCTAACCTGTTATGAGGAACATTTTTCATGTTCAAAAATAGAATTCATTTCATCCAAAAATGAAAATTCTGTCATCATGTACTCACTTATTACTTCAATCCTATAAGAGTTTCTTTCTTCTGTTGATAGCAAAAGAAGATATTGTGAAACATGTTGGAAACCTGTAACCATTGACTTTCATAGTGTTTGCTTTTCCTACTATGGAAGTCAGTGGTTAAAGGTTTTCAGCATTCTCAAAGTATCTTTATTAGTGTTCAATAGAAAGCCATAAAACAATAAATATTAAATAGTGAGTAAATTGTCATATTTTTGTCAATTGTTTTTGGGTGAACTACCGTATCCCTTTAAGTTCCATTTATTAAAAATATTACAATTTGTTATTATTTAAATTAAATTATTATTAAAGTGTATTATTATTAATAGAAAAAAAAAATTGTAAATTCACTAAATTTTTTATAATTTACTACATTTACTTTAAAAAAAAATATCTATAAAAAAATCATGTTGCTGAATGAATAAGCTTGGAAGAAGCTTCTGTTCTGCCATGTTGCTAGATATAGTTATTGTAAGTGTTATATTCAGGGTGTTCGTGGGGTCTTAAGTATTTAAAGTAGATAAATCGATTATGAGAAAATTAAGCCCCTTAAAAGGTATTAAAGCGTCTTAATCACGTTTTTTTATTAGGTTTACATTTTGTTTAAGCGTTGTCCAAAGTGTTTGACTCCAAAAAAGCATAAATATGTTTATTTTTCTTCTAATAGTAACAACTGTGTGACCACGTGATTAACCACGGGCTAGGGCACGTCCGGCCAAACTCCTCCATCCGGGTGATGCCACAAAATTTGCGAAAAACGCGGGAATGTAATTTGATGTTTTCCACATGTAGCAAAACCATAGAGTGAAACAGACGGCAAAATGTAAGCTTGCATACTCCTGGTTGGAGAAAGACAAGTTTAAACTGTGGCTGTAGCCTTTCGCAGAAATCAACTGCCTAATTTATTCTTTTTAAGCTTTGTTGCTTCTGAGCTTATCTGAGTTCCATTGCATGGTTGTGCTCCATTGATTCATTTAACTACAACTGTTTATTAACCACTGTATGAAGTTAAAGATTTGATACTGATTAGAAGTTGAAGTGGTGACAATGTCTTACAATATTCTTAGAAGGCCTTTAAAAAGTCTTAAAAAGGTATTGAAATTACCTTTAGGGTTCCTGCAAATACCCTAATAATACAAATTGTTGTATATGTTTTTAATACTTAATGTGACTTAATTCAGAAATAAGATACTTATTATCATAAAGTGGGAAGATGAATGTTTGCTTACCAATTCTGTATCCAATTTGTAAAAAAAAAAAAAGATTCATTTCTTTTTTATATATTTCGTTTTTTGTAGAAATATCTGGCAACACTGCATTACACAACATAAAGCCAAAAAAGAGCAAAAAAAAGTTTGTTTAAGGGCCTGCATTTGTTTATACATAAGACAAATGCATAGGGATGTAGTGATTCACCGTGAGTCGGTTGAAAATTGATTTATATATGTGATGATTCAATCTGGTAGAAATGTTGAATGAATTGCAATACATATATTGAACAGCAGGGGTGTTTACAGGCACAAACTAGCTTTACCTGCACATCAGCAGGGGTGTGGCGTGGCAGACTAAACTGACAGCGGTGAGGTGCGTCAGACAAACACAGACTGTGCAAATACTGCAAAAAGACACTTACTTACACTAAAAGAACAGCTAATATGATGCAGCACAGTGAAAAACTACTGTCACAGACGTTTAAATGCAAAACGCTATTAAAAGGCCAAACCACACTGACCGGAGGATTGGCAGCTCCGCTTGCTTTGACGAGTGCTAACATTATGGAGATCACACGGTGCTTCAGTGTTTTTGTATGAAAGTGTGAAGATGTTTTCAGACTGAAAGAGAAAGCTGTACAGTAATGTACATTACTACTGTATTGGAGCTGCATTCAGAGTTTTAGTGTGTTTATTATCATGAGGCTTATTTAGTTGTAATATTCATTTTTTTATAGGGATTTTATTTTAAAATGTCAATTTAGTTATTGCAGAAAAGATGTTTTTTAGTAAAAAAAAAAAGTGCAGCATTTGAGAAAAAACTAAAGGGCTCTTGTTCACCTTAAATCGTGATTTAATCGTGAGATTAATATCGTGAATCGTATATCGAATCGTGAGTCAGGTGAGTCGTTACATCTCTACAAACGCAGTCATCTTCAAGATATCATCTATCAAAATGCTGTGTCAAGCATTTAAAACAGGAGCATAGAAACAGATCTGTAGACCAACATGATTGAAAACACTGGCCAAGAAGAAGGCTGTACTATTTCAGTTAGTTCTGTAGTTAGATAGTTCTGTCATGCTAAAATGAATATTCATTAATTATACAGCAAAACTTGTTGTTTATCATTCATATACCAGTTTTTTTAATTGATAATATATACATAAGCATTTATATATATTTTTATATATTCCTTTAACTAATAGGTGTAGCATACCATGGGTGAAATGGAGGAGGGTTAAGAGTTAATGTATCAACATTATTAGATTTATTTGTCAATGTATATTAACAGACATCCCTATAAAACAGTTACATAAAAGATGCCACTGTCATTTCTGTTAATGTCATTGAAAGCAGGTGTCGATATGGGTTCCTACATTAAACTGCCATCCAGGTGAAGAAGGGTTAAACCTTGCTTCCTGTGTTTTTATGCCGTCTCCTGACACAGCGCTAGTCATTCTCACAGCCTTTCTTGTTTTACATTGGTTTTCTTGTGACAGCCTCTCTAATGGTTTGCGTGGGCAGCGAGCCCTTACCAGCGCTCTTCTCTCAAAACAAAAAACATATTTATGTGCAAGTGTTATATGGCGCTTCAATATCCTTTTATGATTTGCTGTTTGTATTCGGAAATCAAGAACCATATATTCCTGCATGGGATTTTATGTTGAGTCTTTCACAAGGTTTAGTTTTCCTTACTAAAGACATAAAGCCATCTGTTTTTCTTCTGCTTAAAAAATTATGTCTTTTGGTTGGGGGAAATACTGGAACTCGTCCAAAAATGAAACTTCTGTCATCTGTTGAACAAAGTAAGATATTTTAAAAAATGTTTCAACTGCTTTTATACTTATGAAAGTCAATGGGGTCCACAATGCTTTAGCTTATGAGACAATCTTAAATGAATACAACTTGGCTTGTTTTAAAGTACCACAATTGTCACTTATTATTTTTATAATTATTTTAAAATGCGTAATTACATTAAAGTTAATGAGTTCATGTGAGCTGCAGTTGCTGGCAGTTTTTTCCAGTATGATGTTAGGCTGTGTGATATGGGCAAAAGAAACTTATCACGATTTTTTCGAACAATATTGTGATTTCGATTTTAGTCACGATTTTGACACATACAGACTTTTTACGTGTGAATCTGAAACATATTTCCAAAGGAAAAGAATTAGATCCTTATCAAAGACATGTAACATGTTTCTAAAACAGACATAAGGCAAAAACAATCACATAGTAAAGGTGTAACAGATTGTCTCTAGAAAAGACCTATGGCAAAATAAATAAACAGACTGCTACCTGTGTTCCCCGTCAAACTTAAGTAAGGCTTTGATATTCTGCCTGACCATGTACAGTATCTAGTTGTGTGTTCTTTTCTACATGTCCACAGATTTTCTTTTGTCATTAATATATTATAAACCTCTTTGTGTTGCTGCCGTGAAGTAGGTTGTTCACATATTGTATCTTTTGGGCACACAAGTTTGTTATTTCCAATAGAGGCATGCGGCTTGTGCGCGTATATTGGGGGTGATGCTTGCATGTATTCCAGCCTAAGTTGAAAACGTAAACTTTTCAGAATGCCGCACCATGAGTAAAGTAACAAGAACTGACCGATTAGCTTCATACTTTGAATACACACTTTTCGGTAGACTAATTACCACAGACAAACAGAACACTCAAATGCCAAGTCCTTTTTATTTTTTTTACATAAATAAAATGTATCAGAACTGCAGCAATGTTTTGTTAGTTTGTCATCCTCTGAGACAATGATTGATGGTTGACTAACAATAGCTACGTTTCCATACACAAATTTTTATGCGCAATTTTGATATGCGCATAAAAACAGTTGATGGAAACACCAATGTTGGAGCCATTCTATTCTTATGTTTGAAATGCATAGGTTGATTGGATGATTTGAATATTATTAAGTTTACTTTCAATAATTATTGCATTCATGTTTGAGTATTTGCTTTTTGTATATTATTTATGTTTGAGTATTGGCTTTATTGTTTTTAATTTTGTGAATGAAGACTTATTCTGTCGATGCAAATCAGCATTTAAGGCATCTAAGGTAGTAGGCCGGGGTGTAAGGGAAGAGCCTGTATCCGTGAGTTTGTATGTTGTGACGGGTGCTACTGATTTGACGGCACAAGATGTGATAAAAATAAACAATGAGAAAAAGTTTCGCAACGAACTCGCCCATCATTGTTTACCCTTACAAAAATACCGGCTTGGAGCAAAATGCTGCTACAGCCAAGATGCACATAACTTTTAAAAATGCGCATAAAAACTTATGTGCATAAAATGAGTCGGATGAACTTTTTATTTGATAAGAAAATATGCGCATAAACTATGATGGAAACACTTTTACCGAACAAATTCCAGTATGTGCATAAAAAGGTCATGTGATTTTGTTATAAGAAATCATGTGATGATAGAAATGTGTGTAAATGGACAAACCAGCATGCTAAGTGCACTGTAAAACATCTGAAATGTTGTTTTGGTCATTCTAAAACGCCTTAACCCTTTGATTATTAGTGTTATTATATTATTAATTACCCCAAGACTGTCAAGAGCATCTGCGTTCTGCTTCTCACAGCTTTAAACACCACCACGCGTTAC